GATTTGCTGGCCAACCTGCTCATACACTTGACCCTTCACCTGCTTGCCCACAGACAGTGGCTAACTTTGACGAGCGGCATATTGTTTGCCGGTCGTATAATGAACCTATTTTCACACTTGCAGGGCTGCAAGCTGTTGAGCATTTGATTTTTTTATATGGACACAATTATAAGTTATCATTCTTAGGTATTAGCAGCATTTTTACAGGGGCTTCTGCTCTGTTTTTTCATGTCATCCACTGAGCACAGAGAGATGCAATATGTCTGGAAGAGATGTTAGGGGGATTATCGTTTCTCTCAGGCTTTGCAACATCTGTCTGATAATTTTGTGTGCTAGAAGATTGGCCGTCACAATCCAATGTTTGTTGTGGCACTCTTGTGCAATTGTGGGATCTCAGAATGCACTGGGAGGCAGGCTCATATATTTATCTATATACAGTGCATCTGCCAGTTTTCTTATGGAGGAAAGAAGAGAGAGAAAAATAAGTTTCCATAGATGCTAGAAAGCTGCTGCTAACCAAGATTGACAGTATTGAGCTAGATGGAGTATTGGTTTTACTTGGGGCGGGTGTGTGTGTGTGTGAGTGAGAAATGACTGGCTACTCCTGCAACCAAGCAGCCCTGCAAGGTTTTTAACTATTCATCATCAAACTCTTGAATTGCTGGACAAGATACTTTGTGCATGGAAATGTACTGAGCAAAAATAAGGTGTGTCAGGCTGTAGAAATGTCGCTGCTTGAAGGAGGGGAGGCCTGGGGGAGCAAGGAAACATGGTGAAAACGTAAGGCCATCCAAAGAAAGCAAACTCTGGCCTCGGTCACACGGAGCATTAGGCACGCTAGAGAGACGGAAGATAGACGGATTTTCACGGGTGCGATCTCACTGCCACATCTGGGAAAAAACGTAGAGCTCCCGTAGCGCACCCGAGGCTTCCCGCCGAAGATGCGGGGTAAAAAACTAGTACCTCGGAGGTACTAGTTTCCGGAAACTGCGGGGGAAGGGCGGGCGTCTGATCGTGTTTCTGGTGGTAGTTCTGGCGCCCGCCCATGTCCCCTCACAAAAGGTGTTTTTTCCCCCAAGTCTCCACAGATGTGCACAAGCACCCAATGGAGCATGTGCACATTTCAGTTTAAAAAAAACACCACAACCCCGTTTGACGCGCCGCTCCACTTCTTTGCCGCGTCGTGTGATCGGCACCTCCCCCCTAACCATGGGAGCTCGACGGGACCTCAACCCAACGCCTGATCGCGCAATCGCGCATTAGTTTGCTCCGGGGCAAACAGCCACGCCCCCGCCCCCCGCATTTTCCTGCCCGTGTGGCCAAGGCCTCTGATGCAAAACTAAAACTTTGCCTCTGTGCCCCATTCGTGTTTTCTTGGATGAACTTGAACACTGACAGGACCAGAGCTTCTGTGCCTTATCCCAGCAAACCGTCTCTGGCAGAGGCGACCCTCTGCCTCTCTGAATGCTCCTCAGGAAATGTGAACAGGAGTTTTTGTATTCTGGGATTTTAACGGAGCTGGCAAAGTTCATGCTGTCATCTGAGATGTGGGATTGCTTGATGGGCAGCTGCCATTTTCCAGTGGAGAGGGAATATCTCTGTGCGGGGGGGGGGGGTTTACACTGGTAAAGGAAGGGAAATGTGCTGAAATGGGGGGAATTACTGAAGCTATAGTGAGATCATCATGGCACTTGGTATGCTGCTTCCTTATAGCCTCTGCCATGACACTGGTACACAAACGTTTTTATTCATGTGTCATAAACTGGGACAACAAGGATTGCTTCTAAATTAATACGTTTTGACTATGTCCAAAAGTCAGTTATGGTATTTTCGGGTACCTTGTCATCAATAGACCGCCCCAACCCCTGCCCTACCCACCCCTGCTATTTATCTGCGCTATGCACAGGCACTTTCTGTGTATTGATTGGTGGGAATTCTTTGCCACTTGTTAAAAATCAGTAGATTTAGTGCACATACAAGGGCTAAATTTTTCTGAGAGCACTTTAATTGCATTATTGCCATCTTGTGATTTATGTATGTGTTACTAAGCTGAATGGAGCTGTGGTGGCTCAAGTGGTTAAGACACTGGACTGCAGGCTGTGGAAGGTCGGTAGTTCAGCAGTTCGAGACCCGAGTGTGCCGCATGATGGAGTAAGCTCCCGTCTCTAGTTTCAGCTCCTGCCAACCTAGCAGTTCGAAAGCAAGAAATTGCAAGTAGATAAATAGGTACCTCTTCAGTGGGAAGGTAACAGTGTTCCGTGCACCTTGGTGTTTAGTCATGCCGGCCACATGACCACGGAAATGTCTTTGGACAGCACTGGCTCTTCGGCTTTGAAACGGAGATGAGCACTGCAACCCTAGATTCGGATTCGACTGGCTTTCGAGCAAGGGAAACCTTTACCTTTATGTACTAAGCTGATGCCATTTTCCCCCACAATATTTTTAAGAATTCATTTTTTCTCTCTCAAGTAATATAAACCTGTGTCCAAAAGTGATTGCAGGTTCATACTTGCCAGATCTCATTAGACTTTGAAGCATCTGGTGCCCTCTTAGTGCCCACCCCACAAGAGTGCTTAGCTTTGCAAGTTGGCAAAAAAGCATGCCTTCAGTCCTGGCCAGTTTAAGGTAAAAAGAGGACGGGATGATGAAACAGCCATCCAAGGACACTGGGTTGGGGAGAGATTTAAGGCTTCTTGTTAATGTGGTGGGATTGGTCAACTGAAAGAGATCAGAGAGATTAAAATGTGGGATTCACTGCCAGAGGATGTAGTGATGGCCACAGGAATAAATAGCTTTAAAAGGGGATTATATAGTTTAATGGAGCCATGGTGACTGAGGGGAAGCTCCATGTTCAGAGGCACTCACTAAACATACCTAAGGGACTGCATCTCCCCATATGTGCCCCGGAGAGCCTTGTGCTCTGCTGATCAAGATCTGCTGGGTGTCCCCGGCCCGAGGGACATCCATTCAGCCTCGACCAGGACTTTCTCTGCCCTGGCTCTGGCCTGGTGGCACACGCTCCCATGTGAGATCAGGGCCCAGCAGGACCTTTTATCGTTCTTCACGGCCTGTAAAACTGAGCTGTTCCGTCAGGCTTTTGGCTGAGGCGGCGGACATTCAGTAAAAGAGTCGGCCTCCCCTGCTGAAGACACCAGTTCCACACGGCCCGGATTCAACAAACTTAGAGTCCAGCTGCACCAGTATCGGAGACTGAAATAACTGGTGCAATTTGGTTTTTAATTCTTGTTTTAATTAACTATTTATTATTGTGTTTTGTGATGCCCAATGGCCTAATTATTGTTGTGATCCACCCTGAGCCTGTTCGCAGGGAGGGCGGAATATAAATTTGAACAATAAATAAATAAAGCAGGGCTTGTCTTATGTTCTTAAATGATAGAACTATATAATAATAAATTATTATAAGGACTCCTTATATTATAATAAATTATGATAAGTACTGTGGCTTCCCTGGAATTTGGTCATGAGCAGCTTTCTTCTTTTTAAAAAACTATAGACCTTGACTAGGGTTGCCAAGTCCACCTTCCACCCCCAGTGGGGGACTTTGGGGGCGTTCCTGGAAGGGGTGGGGCATCCCCAATGTGATGACGTCACGTTGGGGATGTCTGCCGCCCCACCCGGCCGTGCGCTGGATCTCCAGAAACAGCAGTTCCCTGCACTTAAAGTAGCCGGTAGCCGGCGTTTCCCCTTTAAGAGAAGCTGCGTTTCCCTTTTAAGAACGAAGCTGGCTTTTCCCTGCAAGCTTGCGGAGTTCGCACTTGGGATGAAACACGGGTTGCACACCCTTAAAGGGAGAGAGATGGGTGGCTGTGGGTGTTGGGGGTGGGGCTTCCCCCGCCGGCCATCTGGCCAGCGGCGGGTAGAACCCCCCCAAAAAAAAAGGGGGACCCCTGGCAAACCGGGGGGTTTGGCAACCCTAACCTTGACGGATTCTACATGGGGATTTTAATGAGCAGTGTCACTGGACAGAGTTCTGGCATGCTTGGAAAAGAGGAGCTGTCTCAGATAATCTTGCAGAGCCTTCCAAAGAAAACGTGTGCTTTCAAAGCATATTTGTTTGAAGTGCAGAGTAACACATACCTAGCACATGCATAATTAGCTTTGAGTACAAAGATGCCTTTTCAGAAGACATATTGATCTAAATAGCTTATGCATATTTTTTGTAATGGAAAAAGAAGGAAGAAACTTGATAGTTCTAAAATATATGGGTATGCCTTAAACATCCTTTGTAGTACAAATCAAAGGATTTTCTTTTACGAGTTTTAAATTATTTCAGTATACTGAGTATTGTAACATCTGCCTAATTTCCCTTTTGGTTATTTAAATCCTCTTTCAGGAAATGTAAGTTTACAAAATGTTCTGAGTCAGAATACCCTGAATTATAATAGAGGTGCATATTTTTTATAATTATTTCTGACTTTGTTGTAGGAACGTTTTGGGTTGCTGAAGGCAAATCTTGATTTTTAAATTTTCAAGAGCCACCACTTCAACCATTAGTAGTAGTTACCAGGGCTCTTTTTGGGCAGGAACGCACAGGAATGGAGTTCCGGCTGGCTCCCGAGTTGGCCATGCCCAGCAGGAGCTCATTAGCATAATAGGCCACACCCAACAGCAGAAACTCATTAGGATTGGCTACATTAGGGGTGTGTGGCCTAACATGCAAAGGAGTTCCTGCTACAAAAAAAGGCCCTGGGTTTTGACAACAAACAAGGTAAACAGAATAAGAAGAGAAAGGTGAGTGTGGCTGGATGACCACACTTCTGGTAACATGGCGGTGTGGCCTAATGTGCTATTGAACAGTGCTGTCAGGGTGTGGCCTAATATGCTAATGGATTTTGCTGTTGGGTGTGGCCTATTATGCTAATGAGTTCCTGCTGGGCTTTTTCTACAAAAAGAGCCCTGGGTTACGTTTTGTATGGTTTTGGTGGGCTGGGGTATGGCTGATATTATTGTCCAGACTCTCTTTTGTTGTCCCTCCTCAGGTGTTTACCCTGTTATGGATTGCTGACTGGATGGTCCATCACTTCTGGAAAAAGGGGAAAGATCCAGACAGTTTTTCTATCCCTTACCTTACTGCACTGGGAGATCTGCTTGGAACTGCCTTACTTGCAATGAGTTTTCATTTTCTGTGGCTCATCGGGGACAGAGACGGTGATGTCGGAGACTAAGAATTCAGATGCATGGGCTAGTTGATCCCAGTAGATGAAGGAAACAGACTACCACCTGGCTTACCATTTCATCTGAAGGATCTCAAGACAGTGGTTCAGTTTGATTGTGGTAACTTAATATTGGGACTGATGTTAAATGGCCTTAACTTAAAAAACAAACAAAACACCAGGAGCTGGAACTGGAAGGATGAGCTTTGAATATTTTTACACTGCAAGTGAGCATGCCTGTTGCTAGTTGGCATTGTCTGATCACAGAAAGAGAAAGGCGGGGTCTGTGTATCATGCCAAGAAGAGCAACTTCAAGAAATGTGATAGACAGCAGGTAGTAGAGCACCCCTGGCCTCCATCATAACTTGGCTACATTTCAGTTGACTACTTGTATAACAGATTCACAAAATCAAGTATTTGTTTTGTAGCTAAATCCTCTGGAATCAGACATGGTAGGTAAACAATAGACTAAAACTGAGCATGTGACTGAGAAAAATCTTTAAACTGGACATTCCACAGGGTATTTGGCAGTCCTTTGGGCAGGTGAGATAGAGTAGCTTCAGCTGGGAATGGGAAATGGAAACAGGGATAAATACTTCCCGTACAGTCAATTAATGGCGTTGCTTCAAAAGCTGCAGTGGAACAGTTTAAAATCTTCGGTTTTATCCTTTGCACTTTATTGTAAAGGATAGGAAATCCAGGTCTGCTCATGAGAAGACTTTTTTTGATACAGAAATTTCTGAAGAGACAATGTTTCATGTTTTGGAAATGCTTTTAAGAAAAAGGAAACTTGGGCGCATTCTACCAAGTGGTGCTGTCATACAGCCACAGTAATCTTGGTACTGCGTGGCAGATGAAGTTCTAAGGGCCCTTCCCAAATGATAACGTTGTTGTGCAATAAGTGTGCATTCGTTACTGTGAGGTTGCAGAGGATCCAGGCATCTTCCTTCTGTTGTTAGAACTTGCATCCTCCCAGTGCAAACCAAAATACTTTGTTGCTGGGAAAATGTGATCCCTGTGCCAACCCCAGTTAGTGCATCCGATCCATAGTGTGGTGTGTGTGCTTTGTGGTATGTGATTATGTCAGGGGCATCTGTTGGCTAGTGCTGATGGCATGCCGGTAGTTATCAGCACAGGTCTCATCATGTGTCGGCCTCATTTTGTGAATTTTCAAAATGTGCTGTTTTAAAAAGATCTCCAAGGTCAATCAGGTGCTGGAACCCACACGTGTGCGAAGATTGCAGCCCAGAATGCATATCACTCTTCATTTCAATAGAATTTGCTCTTCATCACTGTATGAGGGACTCCAGCATCGTGTTATGAACTTTTAAAGTTTTTTCTCTTTTCATGCAACTGGAATCGGGGAAGTGAAGGCAGGGTTCTGGAAAGCGATGCTTGTAGCCCATTAATACACAAGGTTGGCCTAGCTGTTGTTATTCACACGTAGGTTTTCCCCGTGAGTTGTGTATTCCCTTGAGTACCTTTCAGGCAAAACGGTAGTTAAAATATAAATAAGGCAAATAATTTTTCAAATTGAAACCCCACCCCCACTCGGAAATTTCAAATGAAACTGTCTTTCATTATAATACAGAGTCATTGTGCATTTTCCATTAATTACAGTGGAATTTGCATAAGATTATTCTGATTATGTACATTTTATTTACATGCATGGTCTAGTGGATTTATTTCAAACATGAATATTTGAGATTAGGCATATAAATCCATGCACAAGCCCCCCCCCTTTTTTGCATGCTGATTTTTATTAAGGAAGCCAAAATAACTGAAAGAAATATTGACAGGCATAGCTTGCCGAGTAGCTTCGTTTTCATCGAAGTCTAAAATGCTAACTGCTGTTTATCTTCCTAAATGAATAACTTTCCCCACGTGTCTAATTAATTAGGAACATTTTCATAATTATGACTGACTGCCTTTGTTGCAGGGATGGTTAGGATTGCACATACTTTACCAATTCAGAATTGTGAAGGGAAATTAGACATCTTTCTAGGCCCCCCCAATCTTATTCTGTGTTCATGTTAGTCAGAAGGATATCTTGTCTGTAGTAATATTGATAACATTCCTACTCATTTTTTTAAAAAAGTGGTTGTATGATTAGGGTTGCCAGCTCTGGGTTGGGAAATACCTGGAGATTTTGAGGGTGGAGCCTGAGGGGGGGGGGGCTTTGGGGAGGGGAGGGGCCTCAGCAGGGTACAATGACATCGAGTCCACCTTCCAAAGGGGCCGTTTTCTCCACATGAACTGATCTCTGTAGTCCCAGGAGATCTCCAGCTACCACCTGGATGTTGGCAACCCTAAAATCATAATTCTTTCATTGGGGGGGGATATAGCTCTAGAAGCAATTAAGTTTAATTCTAGTTAAACTACCTTCCTGTGGAATTACGGTCTGATAGACGACAATTTAATGTTTAAAGAAGCAATGGAATTTTTAAGTTCTTTGAAACCAAACCACAGAGCTCCTTAAAAATAAAACAAAGACATTTTCTTCTGTTTTTAAAACACAGACCTTTTATTTAATGTACGTGTATTATTTTAATTAACTTGTGCTACAAGACTCGCTTATGCCTGCACCTACGATGTGTTCCATACATTCTAGAGTACACTTATACTCATTTCACAAATGCACCCTAAAATATAAAAGAAGTAATCAGTAATCAGGAGAAAAGATTTTTTTATAAACCATGTGTCCTTAATATGTTGCAGATAATGTGTGAGGAGGATATCTATAATCTAAATCCACTAGAAAATTTTGATTTGCCAGAAGTTCCTAATTTTACAAATTCTCTTATTTTAGACTCCTAAAAGCTCTGTAAGAATTCTCTTCACATACTTTTCCTTGGTGTCCTGTAGAGTTGACGCAATACATAATCTGTGGAGGGGGATAGATACAAATGTTTGGAACAGCACCGGCACCCTCCAGATTGCTTTGGTTGGCGTGGTGACCATAAATGCAGTCCTGTTCCCAGTTATGAACACTGTCATCCTTTCGATTGCAGAAGAGCCTGAGCAGAACAAGCGGGGGTGGGGGTGGGGGGGCAGAATGGAGTTCCTGAACCTCTTGAGGAATGTAGTGGGAACAGAGTACTTTAGCTGATGTTATCTGTCAAGATGCTCTTTCATAGGTTTCAAGAACAGACGGATATGCCACACAGAACACGTTAGAATCAAGAGATTTAAAGAGGGTTCCACTGGTGTATTGACTTTCCAATAGTCCAGCCATTGATCTTTCTGATTTAGGCTGCAGGCCCATGGAGGTTTTTTTTCTGCCTTGGCTTCCTAGTTCTGAAAGATGATTTTGGACCATCCACATGACGCGTCTTCTCATCATCCACTTTACGTGTCCTCAGTACATTCCTTTTCAATCCTAGTTTGCTATGAACTTTCCAGAGAGAATGTAGGCCAAGTGCATTAGCAATCAATCAGGATTGTAATGTCCACATTCTTGAAGGTGCTACTCCCATCAATGCCATTTTCCTTCCATCAGCCTCCCAAGGCCAATGTTACCCCAACAGCACCACCAGAGGGCTTTTTGCGGGCTTTTCCAAAAGATAGGCAGTTACTGTTGCACTACAGAGCAATAATGTTTTAACGGTCTGTTACCATGATCATATCATTCCTTTGAATTTCCAACTTTAATTTTTTAAACTAAGTCTTTATCTCTTTTCATCGCATTCCCTTTGTATCTCTAGAATGAAAAACCTAGAGACTTTTAAAAAAAATTAAAGCTGGGAAATGGGAGGAAAAAGATCATGGCAATAGATTGTTTTGCACTACAGTGTAATAGTACTAAGTTCAAAACAGACTTCTGGTGGTGTGGTGGTGCAGAAATGGCAGCTGATGGACAAAAGTGTACACAAAGTTCCTGTTGGATTGGATGCTCCATTGCCAATGTGAAAATCTCTGCATCCGTGATGGTGTTGACAGCTGCTCTACCTGCATTGGTCTTACAAATCTCTGTCTGCATTGCTTGCTGCAGCCATTCCTGTATTGTATCGACTCAGCATTGGCTGTCTGCATCATTTTATTGCCCTGTAGTGGTGACTCCAAGGTCACTACGGCATCTCACCGGCTTATGTGGATCTGGTTTTCAGCTGGAGCAACTGCTCCTCCCCGCCCCTGAGCCACTGTGAGCGATAAGCAGACAACTGGAGCCAAGTCTTCCCCCCTCCCCAGTTTTTCTCCAATCATGTTTCTTTGCCGGTGGGTTATTTCCTGGGGCAGTCCCGAGAACACCCTGCTTGGCAACCGCTGGGTGTTTTGTGTTTTTTACCCAGCTCGTTCACTTTCCAGCCCCCCTCCACCTCCTCCTCTGCCAGGTCACCCCCCTTTTACTTTTTGCGGGGGGGGAGTTGTGGGTGCCATTTCCTTCCTGCAGCACAGTGCCCTGCCTGTGCCCCGGGAAGCCATTCTTCCCCCCTCTCTTGTGCACTCTCCCTCCCATGCGCCCCCGCAGTTGCTATGGTGAGGCCTGATGCAGGCAGCAAGCTTTTATCCCAAACCAGAATGGGAGGGAAAGGGGAACAATGTACAATGGTGCCACAACAGACTTAGACTGCTTTACACAGCAGATGCAGATTCAGCCAGGGAAACAGAATCCTTGCCATTCAGATGCAGCCTAAATGGTAGAAATTGATGTTCAGGCTGTCGATCTTTTGGGGGCTAGGCAAGTTTATACTGGCATTCCTTCAAGATTGGGCCAGGATTTCATGGTCTCCCTGATTGTGATGGACCCAGCACACAAAACTAGTGTCACAACAAAGATTTGTTTGACTCTGACCTGGAAACAGGTACTTTTATAGCTGAGACTTAAGACCAGGTAGGGTATACCATTTCCCTATGGGAATGGCAACTGATATAATGCTGCCATGTGCCCTCTCCCTGTGCTGTACCCTACCCGTTTCTTTGGTTTTTCAAGGTCGAAGTGCAGGAGCAAATAAAAAGTCAATTGTCACTGCGACCAGCACCACGACTATTCTTCAGCAAGGCAGAAAAACATGTTCAACATGCATCAGAACATAGATCAAGTTTAGTTGTTTGGTATTCAAATATTACTTTAAATATTTACATGTCTTAATAAATATTTAAAAGCCTGCTCAACAAAGAGATTATTACATTACATTAATGTTTAATGGACTATGACTCCACAATTGGAACATGCCTTGTTACACTTAATATGCACCTTTGGGAAATGTTCAGTCTCCTGAAATGGAAATAGAGATGTGATGCAGATTTGAGCTTTTATGGCATCCTTAAGAGAAGTAAAATGATACCTCATTGTTATGTAGAGTTGTGTCTGACATGTACATATTAATTCCTTGTGAAATATACTGTGA